AAAGAGTAATGAATATCTCGGGAAGGAGAGAATTTATAAGCAACTTTTGGACTGGATTGAACAGGGGATCCTAATTCTTCTGTTTTCCTCTAATTTTGGTCCAAACACAAATTAGCTGTCTCTGGTATTCATATGTGTAACCTATGTATTGTATAAATATCTCATGCACTGGGAAAGGATTCACACAGAAAAAATACCAGGTCAAATAATATAAGACCTTATTGTGGTACCTAGAGCTTAAGATGGACCTATTTAGAAGCAAGCTGGAGAAAAACAAACTACAAAAATTTGAATAGAATTGCTTTTCATGAGTTTTCAGCTAATTGGGAACTGGGCTGGAACACCATAGACCTGTGCTGCCTGAGCAAACGACTCACTCTTGGCAACATCTGGCTGAAAATGTGGATTAGCAGTTGAAAATAAGTTACAGTCTAGAGCACTTCACTGCTTTAGCTTGAAGTTTTGGCATACAGACACTTGGAGTTTGAATGTGTCTTGGCTAAAGATGCTTGATCTGGTTATAATATCCTGTTTAGTTCTTGGTTATCCCATTCTCTGTGTATGTGATCCTTGTTTAAGTTTTCTGCCCTCTCCATAAAGTTAAGGTGATCCTTATCTTCCCTGTCTGCTGCAGGAAGATGTACGGAAAAACGCTTTTGAGTGGTTTGGATAATGAAAGTTATTACTAAGCTTTTCTAAGAGAATGTGTTGATAGCCAGATTCCATCAACAGAGGCCCTACTTTGTGGATGCTAACGTCCATCCATGAAGCCTTACTCATCCATGCAGGGCAAAGATGAATGATTACTTCATTACTCTCCCATTACCATCTACCTCAGTGACATGAAATAACTTTGCATGGTGGTTTAATACAAATGGTATTCTACAACTTAATACAAATGGTATTCTAGATTAAATTCTGTTATTGTAAATGTTACTTACAGTTCTTTTCTAATGTTTACTATTTATGATTTCAAATTTTGCATAGAAATAAGTCCTTGCATTATACCTCTACAGGACCAAGTGAGATTGCAGAGACTTTAATAAAAAGTGGAGTAGACTTTCTTTAAAGTTCCCCCAAACTAAGCAGAAAATAGTTCACTTACATTTTATGAAGGTATTGTGTGGCAAATACAATAGGCATGTGTGACTATGGAATAGGAGATTATTTTTTAATGGCAAAAGCCATCCTGGTTAGAAAAGGATAACTTCATGACATATGCAAATGTATGTGAATGGGTGGTTCCTCTTCCTAATCTTCTTGCGTTTAAAATGTAAAATATATAAATATATGTTTATATAAATATGTAAAATATAATTTTAAAATATTTCAATATGCTTGTTTGAAATGCTGGGCATGACTTAAAGGCATCCAATAGAGGTCTAATGCTGGTGCAGAAGGAAATAGAATAACTCATCTTCTATTTGAAATGTTTCCTGCAGATTCACTTCTGTTGCATCGGCTTGGCACTGTGCCTAGGGTTGCGTTTCTTAGCTGTGTCACTGCAGGAAAGCCAAATCTTAAGTTGTCATGTTGCATTCAAGCTGCCTTATCCTAAATTTATTTTTGGTCAATTTGGCAAATGTGTATTGCTGTCTTTGTGCTGTCCTATACAGTTGCTTGTGGTTTCTCTGTATATTTAAAACAAGCACTTATACTTACATATACTTGCTTACATTGCTTTGCAGTGCTTACATTCTTTTGGCATGTGCTGACATTTCTGTACGAATGTTTTGTGCAAATGTAAGTGATTAGTCTGTGTGTAGATTTGGAGCTGAGAACCACACAACAGATTTGGAAAATGCAATAATCTTACATCCTTGAAAGCTTTAACTGCCTTTATTATTAGCCCACCTGTACAGAGACTTATGCTACTATAATTTTATACTATTTTAAATAATATAGTGGTTTAGAGTGAATTTCAGAAGTATTTCCATTCGTAGCCTGGACACATTAGATCTACTTAAAGACAATGATAAACATAGTAGTTTTGTTATTTTATGACTGTGTCTTATTTTAAGAATGTTTATGGATAGCTATCAGCAGAATCACTGAAACTCATTTTAGCAGCTGCTACAAAAGCATGATAGTTTAAAAAAACAACTGAAAAAAACTTTCACATAGAAGTACATTGGTTGTATTTATGTAATTACTCTTGGCATCAGCTTAAGTAAATTTAAGTAAAAGTTCATCCATAAAATTATCTCACTTTCTCAATCCACTTGAACCTTGATCTGTTTTGGTGTAATGTTCTGGAGTTGGCTTTACGATTGGAGTCTGTAACCCCAAATGGGATTACACCACCTTCTTCTGATTCAGAATTTCCTGCTATTGCAATGTGTTGTTTCACAGAAATGAGGAGTAATTTCCTCTCAGAAGCTCATGTTGAGATTGCTGCCAGGGAACAGTATTAGTGAGGTATTCTTTCACTGCTAAAGACAAGGCATCACTTCAATTGTAAACTTGGTTCTCTCGCAGTGAGTTTACAAACTTGTTCTAAATTTAACTGTTTCCCAGGAGAGTGAATAGTTATCTTCCTGAAACCAATTTTGGCTTCAAGAACAAACAAACCACATGGCAATTTTGCCATTGTGGAATAGACATCCTTTAGATCACAGATAGTTGTGTGTACACTGAGAGCCTTTTCTGTTCTTTTAAAAAAATTATTATTATTTCAAATTCCTTATTGAGTGAACGGTAACGAGTCTGCATCAGTCTGATGCAGGGTGTAATGTTGTTTGAGCTCTGTCCTCCATAGGCAGGTTGCAGTGGGGCTACACGTACATCCCAAGCTCTCAAAGCAGAGATCATTCATGCATTACCTTCACCACCTGCAAGCATGTCTATGTGCTCAGTCCTCCCTTATAAGAAAACAAAAAGAGGAAGGACTACCACAGTGAGCACTTCGCTGTGCTTTCATTGAAGAAAGGTTTCTACCTCTAAAGCTGGCATGCCTTTTCTTAGATTATCTGGTTTCAAGCTATGTTGCTATTGTAGCAGAGGGCTGCCACAGATTACCTCTACTGCAAGGCAGTGTCCCTGGAAAATGTGCTGTTTGCAGTCTTTCACACCAAGCCTGGGAGGATCATGACATTAAATTGCAGGAATACCTCCTGAGTAAATCTGAGGCTTCTACAGAAGGGCCTGCCATCCAAATTTACATGCTTTTGAAGGAGAGGAGATTAAATTCAAAAATTTAATTTTGAAATTAAGCCTGCACCATATCTGTCTACTACCAAGAAAATCAGTCTGTGCTGGAAAGCAAGCACATGTTAAAACTGGATAAGCAGAAAAGAGAATAGAAACATCTGAGAAGGAAAGCTGCAATTCAGATTTTAACCCCAAGCTTTTCCAGCTTCTAAGGCATGCCACTTCTGTGTTTTATAATACAAATATTTATAAACATTTCATAGCATATTTTCTAATTTTAAAGGGTTCTGGTGCATTCTGGTTGGACATATGGCAATTCAATGGATATGACTAATAATTTATCAGGGCCTTGTTTAATACAAAGGGACCTTTTAGTTGTGTTGCCTGAGTTTGTATTTGGTTGAATGAAAAAGCATGGTTGTTTGATAAGCACTTGATGATTTTTTGGCTTGCCGTGATCTGTTTATCCATTATTTTTAATAACCAGTGAAAATGTACTAAAATTTCTCTTATGTGAAGGGGAAAATAGAGGTCTTCGTGCCTGGGCTCCAAGTTAGTTCCTCCCAATCTTAGCTGCACACTTGACAGCATAGGCTTTCATCCTCCAGGGGTGATAATAGGAAAAGCTCATTATGTTCTCATTTTCAGTGCTAGAGTAGTTGTCCTGTGATAAATGAAAGCTGAGATGATATTCCAGGAGAATCTTAACCGTTAGGGAGAAGCAGGTGTCCGGAGGGCTGAGTATTTTTCACCTTTTTCTAGATCCTCCAACTCTGAGACTTGTTTGACATTAGCTGACCAGAGAGTAAGAAGCATCCCTTCATGTATGGCCAGTTCTGGGCAGGACACAGGCACATGCTCGCAGTGTTTCTTTGTTTTTCCCTCAGTGCTGAGCTGTCATATGTTGTCTTCTTCCACTTACACCCTATCCCAAGGGCACTCTTTACTGATACCAGTTCTTCAGAGATTCCTGGGGCACTGCAGTGGCTCACTGCTCTTGTTTTTATTCTGTTGCATCATTTTGCCACACTGCCTGCTTGTCCCAGAGTTCATGTCCCTCCTTGACCTCTCCATTACAATCACAGATCCATCAGCCTTTCAAGCTTCAGGTCCAGTTAGGAAACTGTCTCACTCCTGGTATTGGTCTGATGCTGCTTGTTGACATTTGAAGAGTTCAGATCTGAAAGTGTGTGTTTCTGGAGATACATATACTACTATACTGCAGCCACAAAACTTTCTTTGCAGACAACCCATCTGGGACTTGCTACCATGTCATTTTTAATTTAAAATATCTTTATGACTAATGGAACTATAAAATACCTTGTCATTGTTGTAGCATATAGGGGATCCAGTAATAAATTAGAAGTCCTCTGTGAAAAGTACCATAGATACATAATAAATCAACAACATCTGTCTGGGAACACCTCAGTGTAAATTCGTATTTCTTCCTTATGCACTCAAAAATAGGGTGAGTCGAATTTCATGCCTAAGGGCTTAGAGAGCTGGAATATGAAAGAATTTTCGCCATTCTGCAATATAGTAGTCTTCTATCTCTGTAAAGTATATGCTTTGTTAATGTATAAGACAAAACTTTACATTTAAACATTTCTCACAGCATATCTAGTTTGATTTAGGCAGTGGTTTAAAGCACTAGGATTATTTGGTCACCCCAGATTTATATTCAGTGACTAAAGAACAATGTTTTAGTTTTATTTGAAATGTTTCCTTCCTCCCCTTCTAAACTAAAACTTCAGATTTATGACAGAATCATTAAAATGCTTAAAAGCTAAACTAACTTTTCTGATTCAGTGTTTTGATGAAGATATGTTTTCTCATAATTGCTTTTCCAGATTGTATTGGTCAGTGGACATCTGGACAGCTGGGATGTTGGTCAAGGAGCTATGGATGATGGTGGTGGAGCATTTATATCATGGGAAGCATTATCACTCATTAAGGATCTGGGTAAATGTTCAATTTTAAAATATTTTGAATGCATTACCTTTCTAAGACATGTTGTCTATGCTGTCTAAACTGGATTTTCTATTTTATCCATTCCTCTGAGGGTAACTATTCATACTTAGTATAAATATTTTGAAAATTTGTCTGTTAAACTCCCTCTTTCATCACAGGGGTTATCCCAAAGCAACACAACAGTCATTGATCTAGAAAGTGCTTTGAGCCTGCGTTGTTACTGTTGTCATAGAATGAAAGTTCAGTGTAAGATCTAGGTACCTTAGAAGCTCCTTTTCATTTTGTCTTAATATGTCTCTCCCTATTAATGAAGATGAAGCTTTGTGAAGTCACAGATAACCATCTGATACTGTTCTCTGCCTTATTGTCATTCAACACATTCCTAAACTTTTCATTGGTTTACATGTTGCTTTTACAGCGGCTACTCAGTTAATTTAATTCCCAACCCCTTACCTTGCTCTTGATAACTTCCCAAGACAATTTTATCTAAGTCTCTCTCAAGAACATGTACCTAGGACCAGATCCGGGCAATGATCCTGCCTCTGGTCTTTCCCCTTCTTCTACATGTATAGAAGTTCGTATTTCAAATGTATATATTTCAGTGGTTTTGTTTTTTCCTTGAATGTTCTTCCTAAATATATTTACATCCTGCCTGGACTTGTTCCACCAAATATTGATAAATACATCTATACCATCAGACTGGTGCGTTCTCAGCTTTGCACTTCAGGGCTGATTTCCAGATTAATCTGCTTTTATGTTGCTGTGTGCTTGGGCTCTGCTTTGGACTGTGACAGCTCATTTCCTTTGCAAAGATAATCCAGGTCAGAGGAAGAACACACCTGAGTTTTACCACTACAAGGATACACTTCTGTGAAATTTGGCTTAACCATGGTGACCTGTTGAATGTTGTGGGCTCATATGTCTCATCAAGCCACATTTGACACTGAGGCTTTGCACACTGTAGTAACCTGCTACAATAGGTTTATGGGATGCAGGGCAATGTCTGTTTCCAGGGATCACTTCTTTGAATCATTCTTAGTAATCCGCAGGATGAATGGCTTCAGGAATTCGGTCTGTAGATCAGCTGGACTCTTCTGAAGTTGATATTCTAGCACACAGGCTGTTAACCCTGGACTTGCTGGTCTCCCTCTTCCAGTCTTTTGGCCCAGCAGAACTATGAATTGAACTAAATCCCCATGACATCAATGCTAACTATAGATAAAGAAGCAGAGAAAGAGGCAGCTTCTAGCCTGGATATGTCTGTTTCAGTAGTGCTGTGGATAAAATACTAGTGTGGACTTGCTCAGCCTACTGCCTCCTGGTTTGTATAGCCCTCCTGTGTGGGATCTGAAAGGCCAATTTCTTCAACTCAAGGGCTTCATCTGACGTGGGTAGAACTGAGCTGTAGACGATGTGTTATTGTAGAATGTCATGGTCTGCATATGCCTACATAGGGTATGTTTTGTGGGAGAGATGGTCCACAAGTTAAGCTGAGGTAAGGCTGGTGTATGTGCAAGAGGGAGCTGTGGTTGCACAGTCATCTGCCTGTGTTCTCCAGAAACCCAGCCTTTCAAAGTTTTGTCTGGTGTCCTGTTCCTAGTCTGCCGTGGCCTAGTTTGATTTCCGCCCTCCAAACTTCAAATTCCAGTCTTACTGCTTGATCTGTAGGTTTTTTGCTGGTTTTACTTCCATATGGGTTTTTATCACTATACCACTCAAAACTAGTTCAAAACAGACTTCTGAGATTGTCAAGTTGACATTCAGGGATGCTTTTCCAACCCTTCATCAGATGGAATCTATTTTTTTTCTCATTATTCCCTTTATCCAGAACTGTAAACTGTGGTCAAGAGAAATGCACCACATATTCATTGAAAACTAAAATCAGCTGCTGCTCCTGCTCTTAGCTCTGTCAGAATTTAAATAATAAACCAACTTTCCCTGCTTCCGATCAGAAAGATTTGTGTACTTGAACAGCCTCAGTGGAAGATCTCTTTGTAGACAAGCTCTGTTATGTGATTAGCCACTCTCATACTGCAGTGGTGAACATCAGACATCCCTGTGAATTCCTACCTTTATTTTGCATTATTTGAACCTCTTATGTCTTGTTTTGCCAGCCTCAGAATGATTGGAATATCAGTCTATGACCAAAACCAGAGTGCATCTGTTTTAATTTTTGGTCTTTTAAAAGTAAACTAAAGAGGATTCTTCCACAGAAGAATCCAGGCCTACTCCTTCTTTTAGTGTTTTTTAATCTTTATGATGCTTGGAAAATTGTCTATGCTCCCTCCACCTTCAGGAAAAAAACATAATTTGTACTTCTGTGTTTGCTGACTCTATTCCATTCAGAATAAACTGTTTTGTGTCTCTTAAGGGCAGGTTCATGGTGGCATTGTATAATTCTTACTCACTGGGTTTCCCTTCATGCATGACTGAAATACATCACTCTGCTTGTTCAAATATTTGATTTCCTCTAGTAGTAGCCTGTGTGTTTGCTGTACGATCTGTGGTGAAATGCTGTTTTCTCAGCTGGGAAATGCCGGAGCCTTTGCTGATGCCCTCTGTTCTGGCCAGCTGTTGTGTTTAGCTCTTCTAGTTATGCCAGTGTTTTGCAGGAGTGTAAAGCTAGGAGAGGACTTCTGGGTCATCACACCTAACCTGTAAATGACTATGGGACATAGGGCCTTTCTTAAACTGTCTTCAATAGCAGATTGGCTAATGCAGATTTTATATCTTATGATGCACATAAAATTTGACAAAAAAGGACAACAAAACAGCAGATGTGCAGATTGTGGGGGAAATGAATTAATAAGTTTTATTTAAAATCAGTTCCACAGATTGTGTTTTGAGTGAGCATTATATTTTGAACTGTGGAGACTTGATTTAATGTCCTTTTGGACCCTGATAAATTTAGTCTCAGACTAGTCCACCAAGTACATTTCACATGGGGTTAAGCCAACTCAACCAACTTGTCCCTATGCACATGTAGAATGTTTTTACTGTATACTGGGAGTCTTAAAGCCATGATGCATAAAAAGCCTTAAAGCCATAACAACTGTGTCTGCATTTATCACAGTGTAACTGATCTCACAGCTGTGGTAATATGATCTTAAAGCTGAAGCAAGCATTCTGAAATATGAATTCTAGAATATAAAGTTTGTATCGTGTAGTGAGAAATACTGCCACGGTCCATTGGTTCCATAAGCAAGGTATTACTACTCTGTTTAAGGAGGTTTTTTCGGTGATGATCTAATAGCACTTCGTCATGATATCACTGTAGCTGTGGCTGGTGGACACAAATTATGCCTGTTGATTAGGATTTTGATAATTCCACATAGTACTTGAAGACATGATTATAGTTTAAATACCATTCTATACTTTCAACATAACCTCCCCAAACCATTTAATAGCTGTTGGCTTAGGACCAAATACATGAAATTCATTGAAAAATCATTAAAACTATAGTTTAAGATGGTTATATTTTAAGCAGTGCACTTTGTTTTCTTGCCTCAAGTAAAAATATTTTAACATTTTTTGCTTTTATTTCTAACTAAATCAGTTACTTAATCTGTTAGACTTTATATTTCCTAAATCTTCAGTGTTAGGTTTTATTTTTTAACTGAGCTTGCAGTTTCTGTACCATATTGACATATTTTTTTCTTTCTAGTGTTTTTGTAGATCTTCAGACACTGTAATAGGACACATGTAACAGTAGCACATTCTGAAGTAGTTTTACACAGTCTTCAATACTTCAAACTGTTGGTAGGATTTTTTTTTTTCCATTTCACTTTTTGACTTCACAAGAATGTTGTTTGTTTTGAGAGAAAGTAAACTACATGAAAGACAGTCATAACTGAAATAATTTTGTAATATATTACCAGAGAGTGGAATAAAACGATATAATTCATGTAAAATCCCATGTCTACATTTCAAAAGAGTAGTACCTTAAAAACACAGGGCCAGATTGTGAACTACTGTAGTTTTTATATACTGTTTAGAGCTATAACTATTCAGTTATACATGGAAAGTAGAAGAGCTAAAAAGTGGAAAGTTTCAAGTTTATCTGAATACTTTTCTTCTAACAGCTGTAATGTCTCTCTCTCCATCTTCCATGACGGAGTGACAGGATGGGGGTACCTGCTGGAGGTGCCGTTCCCTCTTCTCCAGGGAGGAAGCACAGACAGCAAATTCAGAGCAAATGCCAGTTTCTAGATGGTTACATTTCAGCAAGGTGAATCTTACTCCAGGTGGCTTTTCCACAGCCACCCTGTGCAAAAAACTGAACTATATCTCTTCTCTTCTGTGTGTCTGCAGCTTCACTCTTGAAATGTCCCTTTCAGCAACATACAGTTAAATGTCAGCACTGGCTGTGCATCTGTTGGTACCAGCCCTGGTTGTAAACATCTCCTGACCAGAGTAAGCAGAAGTGTTTTCCTTTGTGCACCCATATCAAGTTCTTCATATCAACTATACTCTCATGGCTGCTTGCTTTGTTGGGAGCTAATCTCAGAAAAATTCACCAACTCTAGTGGTCATATTGACTAATGTTTTCCAAAAGGGTCTTTTCTCCCAGTTAACACTGAAGTTTAATGGAGCACAAATGAAAGAAAAGCAGTATTTTTCTTCCTGGAACTCTTGGAAGCTTGTGGAACTCTTGAAGCTTATATACACCACTGACAGAATTTTTCTTCGTGGAACTCTTGAAGCTTATACACACCACTGATAGTTAAGATCTGTGGCGAGCTTCTTCATGTCTTATGTGCTTAAAAACCAAAGAACTAGAAGTGTTTCCACAAAACTTGCAGCTAGTTATTGGTCTTTCTTCCTTTTTCTAGGAATAAAGATGGGAGGCAGTTTGTAAGAGTGTCTGGACTGGTAAACTCCCTTTCCTTCAGTGGAGCTGGGGCTGTTGGATTAGCTGAGGATTTGTGATGCTTAAGAAATTACCCTTCATAACTGCAGGCAGAGTGTCTGAGGCAGTAAGCCTGTGCAGT